ATGTGACACCGAGAGCGCGTAGGTCTTTCCTCAACAGAAAGATCGATGTACGAGGCCGATATCCAACTTACACACCGGCAAAGTATTGGCTTGAGCAATGGCTGATCTGAAACATTTGATGTAAAGCACAAAGATTACTTTTTAACACAGCTCATTTACAGGTAAGCTTTTATCAAAGTTCTGCTTAAATGTAATATATATTTTGCATTTAACTCTGCTTTCCCTTTAAAAAAATAATCAAAAAGGTAAATGTGCAATTTGTCAATAATTAAAAGAATGGGTCTGTAATGGAAGGTATGTTAAAGAATGAATAATTATGTTGATAGTATTTCGTATAAGACATTGCAAATTCTAGGACATTTGCCCCCTCCCTCGAACAGTTGTCCTCTCGGACGCGTGCCCCCTTTATGCTGTGGCGAATTGTTACTTGTCAGAGATAATCTCGTGTATGAATATTATGTATTTTATTTTATTTATTTATGGATGTTAATTTGTTTTCACAAATTTGCCCATTTATTTGTTTATTTAAGCACAATTAGAATTTCGACAAAAGGCGATGAATTTTTTTAATAAACAATTAAAAAACGTCCAACCCTTCCAAAGATATGACGGGGCAAATGTCCGCTACTGCAAAAAGGTAGAAAACTTCCGAGGGAACAACTGTCTGAGGGGCAAATGTCCGGATACCCAGCAAACCAGGAAATACTTACATATGTATATTGTTGGCAAGTGTGAGATATATGATCCGATTATAAAGTGTTATAGAATAAAATATGATCGCTCATCATATAAATCGTTATACTAAATCACTTATAACTTTGCATTAACATTTCTTTTTCAAGATTTCTTTTAATAATGCCCGTATCGTTTCTATCGCTATTTTAATAACTAATGGGAGATGTGCCCAATGTAGACCAATCCACTTTAAGTACTTGTATATGCATGTCACTATAAGCAAGTTTTGGATTATATCTTAACGTTGTAGTGTAGCATTCTTTGAAACTAAGCCCTGGATTCGAAGGTTTTCAGGGGAACATTATCTTGTTTAAAAGAATGTATCCAGATTTTGTAAGACAAGAATATTATGACAATCATTTACATTTTATTTTCATTTTCAATTTTTGATTGCATTTCATGTTTTCTTTGTCTGCGCATAAGCAGGTCTATTTTTTCACGTGTTTTTCATGACCGGGTCTGTCTGACTAGAACAGACCTGTGCACGTGCAAAAGATAGACCTCATAACGGACTTTTTTTTGTTTAAACAGTTCTATCCGAAAAATATAAACCTGTCACAAACAATAGAGGAGGTGTGTAATCAGTTATCTTGTTTAATAAATGATTAAGGATTTACCAAGAAGCAGTCACAAAAGTTCTGCCTAATCCCCCGCCGAACAGGAGAAAAGTTATGAAAAGACGATAGTCCCTATTCACATCAAAGGGCTATAACGGACAAAGTACAAAGTTGGCACACGAGAGCTATTTAACCATGAAGTTTCAAGCTGATAAAGTTTCAAGTTTAAATATTAGAGTAGTAGCTTCAACCAAATAGTAGAAATTTCAAATTAAACATGAACAAATTACAAAAGGCAATAATTCTAAAATATGTTAATACCGGTATATGATGTCGAGATTGTCATCCTTGTCAACAGCATTGAGATCTATCCTCTAATGAAGATTCAAATTTCTTTTTTTGCCTTCTTTCCTATTTTTTTTTTTTTTTTTTGGGTAGGGTACATGGCGACTTTCAAGATTTACTGGTGGAGGAACACCAGTGTTCTTCCGTACACGAGCGACCACCGATGTAAGGTATTTAATATCTCTATAGCATTATGAGTTATGGTTCGAGCAAAAATTATGCAAGAAAAGGGAAATAATTCAGATTATGATAAGTTGGGTTATTACTCTTTTATACTGCAATCCTCGATGAGATCCATCAAGAAATTTTGAAATTCAAGATACACTCTGGACATTTATTAAAAATAACTGAAAAACAATAAAGGATCGAGCATTGCAATTCTCTCAAATGAATTGTTTTTGAGTTGTGTTCCGTTTATGCTGCGTCCTAGGTCGCAATAGGGATGCCATTAGGAAGCATATTGTCGGTGTGAACAACAACGGAAACTTTTATTGATAAAAATAAGAGGAGGCAATTCCTCGTGTTCTTTTTTCCCCGTGGTCATATGGTTCTCTTGGTCATACGGTTCTTGTTCTGAATTTTAGGTTTATGGGACTTTGTTCGTTGATCTTTATATGGCATTTTCCCACATAAGCAAGTGAAATGTTCCTGATAAACTTTTTTTTTCAACTAAATGATGGAGGTTTGACCGGACAGACAAACAATCAATCTGACACTAAAAATGGCAAATGTTCTCACTGATCCGGCTGAACTGAAAGGGCCATAAAATATCGTATCATATCATATAACAACATATTATTTCACATATCAAACCAAATCAAAATAAATCAAACCACACCATTTCTCAGTGTAAAAATATGAAAAGGCCAAACATATAAAAATCACATACTCTGTCCCTGAGAGGATGATCTAACCCTATACCCAACCCCCCTCCCCCTGCAAGCATCGGCTATAGCAATATTCAATCCTAAACACTAGCAGATTATGCTTACACTTGACAAAATGACAGAGTTTATAGAACACAATTGTTTCAACTATAAACAGGTTTACAGGGACAAAATAACACGAATGTTTGCCTACGACCATGACTGTGAATTTAACGATTACAACTACATACGACTAGGACTTTTACAAAAACAAATTCCACAAGATCTATGAAACCAGGAATATTACGACAACTTTTTTAAGACGATACCTACGAAGACGTCGGATACGCGACAACTAAAACAATAACTGCATAGTAGCGGTTAATGCGTCGGACAAGTAGTCTATGGATCACAAGCCGTGAGGGTTCAAAATCCCATCAGGCACAAGAGCAAAAAAAATGCAATCATTCTTCACTGCTGGTTGGTTCCAGGAACGGATTCGAAAGTGTGTCTATAAGCTTAAAGCTTCGTACCGTACACAATCGAACTAAAATAAATTCTGTATAAACCAAAACGATGATGACTTTGACTATGACTACTACAACTACGACTTTTATAACAACTCCGATGATGACGACGACCTAAATAGCAAAAGAGATCATTTCCTGATCTTAACTGACCTCCTTCTTCAGGCAAAAAAGTTCTTTCGTTATTGATCGCTTTTTTTGTTGTGGCCGGTGAACTTGACCTTAGATCTTCTAGCCTGAAACCCACCAGGAGTCATTTTCCCGTGATTATCAACATACCTAAATGTAATCTATAGAATAATGAAAAATATGATTTTAATTTTCTCACTAGACGTAGGTTATATACGTTAAGATAAAATACATTTCTTTAGAAATCGGATGCACATATCCAACGTAAACAGCTTATCGTTAGTTGTTCATGTAATGTTTACTAATGTATACCGCTCACGCCTTAGCTCCTTACTACGGTGCAACACTTTATACTTGAAAATTTAATAACTCATCACACAGTGATAGAGATCCACTAGAGGTGCAGTGTGTATATACTTACTATCTTGTGTTATATTTAATGACCTCTATTTATATAATAGAATAGTTATAATACTTGTTAAATTTTTGCTTCTACAGCCGATGTCGTTAATATTTAATATGAACACACCTTTGGTAGTCTCCTCACTTTGGGTATGATAAGTGGTCAAGGACACTGGTGCTAAAATAAATATTTACACTTCTACTCATACAGCCTTTGCTTCATGACTTATTTCACAATTGATTAGCAGATAGGTACCTTTGGTGGGCCTTCGAATTTTGGCTTAGTTATGAGTCACTTGGGTAAAGGTTACTAGTGTTAAAAGATTCTTGATATGTGACGAATTGGTTTATTTTTCTAACATTGGCAGCTTTGAAGAAAAACTTATTGTGTTAAAGAAACAGCTCATATCCATTTGCTGTAACTGCTTTAAACTATGACAAGGCTAGTTGACCAAGCTTCATAACAGCCGAGACATTCTCATTTTTAGCACTTTCGACTTTTATAATTTCTATCATTATCACTTTGATACGTTAGATTTCTTGCGTTTCCGACCAAATGATTTTTCAGTTATTAAATTATTAGTTTTTATTTTCGATGTGTTAAAGTCTTTAATTTTGTACTGAATGGTCAATTTGATGAACAATTTTAATGTGATTTTGTGGCTGTTTTGGCAATTTTTACATTTAAACGCAGATTTTGTCCCAACGGTATATTTTATTTCACAACAAATTTTCAAATAATTACTTATTGTCCCATTATCTGAACTATTTATTTCCTTTGTTGGTTTTGGGGAATTAGTACAGTTATAGTTACAAAGTATTTTGTATAGAAGTCAGATTATTACTTTGTTACATCTCGCTATTTTTTTTATTAAATAATTTACAATCAGCACTACTTTTTCAGGTGATAAATATCTTACATTTTCTATAACCATTATAAAGTAGGCACAAGGCTATCTGATTTGTATTAAACAGATTGCCGAGTGTTTTGATGTTCTTTCTCTTTTATATAATAGGAAAAAAATAAAAACACGTTTCCTGTCGTCACACTGAAATTCCAGAAAAAAATAACCAATGTACGAGCATCTGAATTGCAACTTTTCCATCGTTATCCCTTTCGGTCTGTCATCGAAATAAGTAAACCCGAGACAAAATGATCTAATCATCGAGCATGCTCAAGACAGACAGTGAGTGCAGATAACTATGAGGGGTGTTCAAATATGAAAAAAAATTGACAAAATGTTAAAATTCATCACACGGCGTTAAATGGTAACCAACATTTAATTTCAGTCGCATATATGCATAAAAGTTTGTACGATTAAATATGTACTTTTGCATAAATGTAGTTAATTTTGAAAATGATTGCGTTTTACATATAACTTTGTTTTACATTTATGTTTTGTTCACTTGAAACCAAACTGAGAAAAACTCCGAAAACAAGTAAAATTTTTAATGAAAAACAAAAAGAACAGTCATTATCAACAAATACACAATATATATATACACATATAAAAAATTATTAAAATACAAAATACGCTTTGTCCGGATTCTGAATCCAAAGCTGGCTTTTAAATATATTCATGTATTGTCTATTTACCTACATACTTTAAGTATGGCGCAATTGTGCATAATTTTTGTTTATAGTGTATACACATAAGTCCAACTTGAAGACTAAAAAAGTAAAAAAGAATGTTCTATTTATCACATATCAAAATAAAGAAATATTTACAGTTAAAAATGAACCTTTTTCAATGACGCGCTTCTATTACGCAAATGACGTCACATCAAAATGTATGCACGGCCTAACAATACATACTGTTAAAGCTATATTGTATTCATGCCAAATTACATAGGCGGCGGTGAAAGTTAAATTACGGCGTCAGCACAGAAAAACTTAAGTGTTCTTAGATTTAATATAACAGTCATTTTGAAAAACTTCATCAAATGTACACTACGTAAATTATAATCATATATAAACACATGAAACGGACGTCATCTGCAAACAATGAGCAAACGATTGTCACATTTAAAAAAAAATGTTTGCAGAATCATGTAATAAAACAAAATAAATGAATTAAACACTCTTTTTCAAGTTCCAAGTACGATTTTGAACTTGTCATTTAAAACCAATAGGCGGTGGCGCCGGGTCAGTATGTTGTTGACCTTGCTGCTGATGACCATGAAATCCCGACGGAAGTGGCGGAAGTGGTTGTTATCCGTATATCGATTGGTATGTAGGTGGCAGAGTCGAACCTGAAGGGTTTTGCATAAAGCTAGTTGTAACGTATTGTGGGTAAGGGATTTGACGTTGTGGATAAGTTGCCACGTGCGATACTGTCATTCCTGGAATGAATATCATTACAATATAATTGATCTAGACTGAATAACTAGTTAATCAATAAATATTATACATGCTTATCTAAGTTGACTCTTCTAAAAGTGTATTTTTAAAGACAGTACAAGCTAGGGTTCTTCCATTCTATAACGTTTGTAATGTGTTTTTCCATTGGACAATCGCGACGTTCATATTAATTCTAAAGATTTTGACAGGTTATATGACCTTATAAAAACAGTTGGTTGGAAATATAACCTGAACCGCTAGGCGAGGGTAATATTGCAAACAATCGTTTATATACGAATTTGTGATACAGCAAGAATGTTTATTTAGAGAAAAATAGTGTGATTGGAGAGCAATCGTGTATATATTTTCCATATAGTCAGTTTCATGGCTACGTTACATGACTACTTCATGTAACGATGGCTATAGGAAGTGCTATAAATGACATTATTTTTTATTTTTTTTTATTTTTGCTAATTTCAATCTAACCTGTTTCAGGCTGAATAGTTTGGCCTGTCTTCCCTTTTTGTTTAACGCAAACACAGATTGCACATACAATGAAACTTATTGTAAGTATTGAACCTATGACTACTCCAGCTATCGCCCAACCGAGCCACGCCGCGTCTTCATCATCACAACATTCCGAATCACAACATTCCTTACCACAGCATTTCTTATCACAGCATTCCTGATTCATCGAGTCCGTCCCGCAACATCCGTCATCGCATTCAAATTCTATATATGTGAAGTCTCGATCAAAATTAAAGCATATATCCCCGCTGGCCCGTGCTACAAGATAAATGAAATGCGTAAATAAATAGAATAAATTTCAAGCTATTAGCTTTACTTCTAACTTATTTACATGTTTCATTTTGTAGCATACGTATATAGCTACTTCCGCTGAAAGTTGTGGTCCTTTACCAAAGATTCGTGAATATATCCGAAAAGTTACGATTTTAATGTATAACATTTTTGATATTCGTAAAGCATATAACTGGCGTAAATGACATGTAGCCAGCAGCATAGTGCTTACTATCTAGGCAGACTTGAAGGTACAGACTGGCCCTTTTCTGATGCTGGCGGCATTTGTTATCACCCCTCTCGACATGGTAATGTTATTATTGACATAGCCATGTCTCTATCGACATTGTTATTTTATTATCGGCAAAGCCATTATAATTACAGTATCGACATAGCAGAAGTCATGTCACTATCGGTATTTTAGTATTATAACGATCGGCTTGGTCAAGCGATTATCATTATCGGCATATATATTTTGATTATCGGCATAGTCGTTACTTTATCGACATCTAGTCATGTCACGATCGACATTGCAAATTCATTATTTGTACAGCCATATCATTGTCGGCACAGTTATTTTACTATTGACAGAGCCATATCATTATCGGTATAGTTATATCATTAATAATAAAGTCATAATATTTGTTATTTATGTCACAGCCTCATAATAATTGAATCAGTTATGTCTTTATCGACACAGCCATTTTAATTTTGGCAGAGCCAAGTCATAATCAACATAATGACCATAGTGATGTCATTATTGACACAGTAATAGTATAAAATGTCGCGTCATCTACGCCAGACTTATATAATTTTGACAAAATAATGACATTTTATCCTCAACCATATATTATCGCGATAGTTATGCCATTATCGCAACAAACATCTCATAATCGAGTCATTGCTTTTATTAACGCCATTGCTTTATCACTTTATCAATAGTAATGTCATAGTTGCAACCATCATGACATTTTAATCACATTCACATCAATAGAGACATAGTCATGTCATTACATACATAACCCTGTCATTATCATCACAATGTTATCAATACCATCACAATCTGTGTTACAATCGGCAAAAACAAACAAAAGAACAAACAAGCACATTCATCAAAATCCTATCATTATCGACACGGTAATATCATATCGACACTGTCATATCATTATCTATACAGTCATAACATTATTGATACGGTCATATCATTATGAAAACAGTCATTGCATTATCGACACAGTCATATCATTATCGACACAGTCATATCATTATCGACACAGTCATATCATTATCGACACAGTCATATCATTATCGACATAGTCATATCATTATCGACACAGTTTTATCATTATCACACGGTTATATCATTATCGATACGGTGATATCGTTATCGACAATGTCATATCATTATCGACACGATCATATCATTATAGACACGGTCATAAAACAATCGACCCGTCATATCATTATCGACACGGTTATATCAATATAGATACGGTCATATTATTATCGACACGGTCATATCATTATCACTAGAACATATCATTATCGATACGGTGATATAATTATCCACACAGTCATACAACAATCGACAAAGTCATACAACAAAAGACACGGTCATATCATTATCGACACGGTCATATCATTATGGACACAGTCATATCATTATCGACACGGTCATATCATTATGGACACAGTCATATCATTATGAACAAAGTCATATCATTTTGAACACAGTCATATCATTATAAACACAATCATTTCATTATCGAAATAGTCATATCATTATCGACACAGTCATTAGCAACACGATCAAATTATTATGGACATAGTCATATCATTATCGACACGGGCATATCATTATCAAAACGGTCATATCATTATCGACATAGTCAAATCATTATCGACACAGTGTTATCATTATCACACAGTCATGGCATTATGGACACGGTCATGGCATTATCGACACGATCATAAAATTATCGACATAGTCATATCATTATCGACAAGGTCAAATCGACATATCATTATCGACACGGTCATATGATTATCTACACGGTCATTTAATTGTCAATATGTTCATATAATTATCAACATCGGTATATCATTATCGACACGGTCAAATCAATATAGACACAGTCATATCATTATCAAACGCCAATTTTCGATATGATTATCATTATCGACACAGTCATATCATTATCACACAGTCATGGCATTATCGACACGGTCATAACAATAATCAACATCGGCATATCATTATCGACACGGTCATATCAATATAGACATAGTCAAATCATTATCACACGCCAATTTTCGATACGAATATATTATTATCGACATAGTCATATCATTATAGACACAGTCATATCAGTATCGACATAGTCACATCATAATCGATACGATCATATCATTATCCACACAGTCATATTATTTCCAAAGCGGCCATATCATTATCGACATAGTTATATCATTATCGACAAGGTCATATCATTATCAACACAGTCATATCATTATCGACAAGGTCATATCATTATCAACACAGTCATATCATTATCGACAAGGTCATATCATTATCAACACAGTCAAGATCATATCATTATCGACACGGTCATATTATTATGGACATGGTCATATCATTATCGAAACGGTCATATTATTATCGATTTAGTCATGTTATACCCATTGTCATGTCAATTTTAAGTCTTTTCATGTCCCGATCAATACGAGTACGATTATAAATAGGTCACTTATGCACAGTCATATACGGTGGCGTAAAAGTGACATTTGCATTTTGTCATACTTATTTTCTGTTTGTTTTTCATACGTATTTTTATTTGTTTCTCGTACATATTTTTTGTTTGTTTGTTTTTCGTACATATCTTATTTTAAATTTGCGTGCATATTTTATTTTAGTTTTGTATACATATTTTATTTTAGTTTTTCGTACATATTTCTTTTTAATTTTGTATTCATATTTTATTTTAATTTTGCATAGATCTACATATCTTATTTTAGTTTGTCGTACATATTTTCATTTTTGTTTTCATTACGACCTTTAACAGTAGAATTGTTGTTAGAATCTATGAACATGTTTTTCTTTTTAAAGAGACCTTTCAATATGTCGTTAGATCTTGTCTTCCTGGGTGTCACTGTGATAATTTATTTAGAAAAATATTATCTGAATTCAAATATTTATTAGAAAGCTACCGAAGAAAAAATGTCCGTACTGCTTAATCTTAAGAGCAAATTTCGATTAGTGAAATAAAAAGAAAATGTTACTGTACGGTTATTAGATCTATATATTTACAGTATATTTACAGTAGATCTACTTTACCTATTTGTGTTACTCCAAAAATAATCCAAAATAAAACGTTTTCCATTTCGTAAAATGAACATAGATCTTAATAATAATAATTAAAAAACAAGAAAAAAAATCTATATAAGTCACAAAATTTACACGTGACGATAAACAAATTTCAAGAGTTGAATCGATATTTGTAACATAATACCATTGTCTTTCATTCTAAATGACAAGTAGTATACCTTTGGAATTTGAAATATTGATTTTAAAACCTACTTTACGCCACTGAACATGACTAAAACAGTTATATCTTTAGAAAAGTCTAAGGAAAACACGGCCATTTTAAAATAGGAATTGACGCCGTTTTCATGACGACATTCCATGGAATGGCAATTGCTTAAATTATGAGATGCTTTTTAACGGACTTTAAAACAAGATTTTGAACAGTTTACAGTAAAATTATCAAAAATAATTTCACTCAGTAGCCGGAGAATGAATGAAAGTTGCGTCACAAAATCGTTTCATGGTGTAATTACAGGATAAATATTTGTACACAGTCTGCGTTTATAATAGCCTAAATTGTAACAAAATTCTTTTTCTTCCCTTCAAGATCAGGATTTAATGACTGTTACAAGAGAACCCATGACGTGCAACTTAAAATTTTGGTAATCTATTTTAATGTATCATAATATATCTCAAGATACAACGACTGTTTATCAGTTCATATTTCAATAAGATGATCGGAAAAAATCAGTAGGTACAATATTGACCTAAATTAATTTAAGCAAGAAATAAATAGGCAACAGAAAACGTGTTTATTTTGCATATATAGAGAATATTGAATCAGTGTACACGTGTAATACTAACTTTATTATATACTTATAAATGAAATATTGAGAAATATTGATGCAATAAAATGCATATTTTCATTTTCCGTATTTTCACTGTAAAAAATTATTTTTCACTGCAGTGAAACATATTTTCCGTATTTTCACTGGTGTCTTGCCGGACTACTTTCTCCTAAATTCAGCCAATACACAAAATTAAAGAGGAATTCTTTAAAATCGTAAGGTCAAAAAAAGAGAGAAGGTATATAATAAAAAGAAAATTCAAGTTTTTTCTATAAATACAGGATTTATTTTCATCTCATGGCATGAAAATTATCATATTTCACTCGAGGCTACCGCCACTCGTGAAAGATTTTTTTTTCATACCACTAAATGAGAAAAAACTTTAATATCCTCTCTTTATTGAATGTCGAAACAATTATTTAGAATTTCTCACGGCTTCTAAACGAATTCTTAAATCATTGTCTCTTAAGTATAAAATTGGTTGATTATTAACTTGTATTTTTTCTATACATTTGTTTGATTATGTCAGTGTAAAATGTAAACATGTTATAGTTATATTGATGTTAAATGTCTTTGCCATATAGTGTATGTGTGTAAATAGCCAAAGACAATGTTCATTGTCGATTTGCCAATAAACTTGAATTGAACAAGTTGAATAAAATCATATTATGCGAGCCTCTGACGCGAGTATCAATTTACAGAAACATAAGATTAAAATGCATGCCAAAAAATTTAGTTTAATAATACTTAATTGCAAATATTTTTTTTCATAAATACATCTAAGATAACATGAATAATACATAAACAAATATTCACAAAGAGATATAATGAAAATGGGCGGGCTACAAGTTCTACAACCCTCCTCACAACGTCAATATTTAAGATATCATATACTTATTCCGATAATTTAATTGCAATTATTTTTAAAGGACAGTTAATAGAAATTGAAAATTCGTTTATTGTTTAAAATAAAGGTATTAACTAGTGGGAAGAGTTCTGTACTGTATGGCAGAGGACAGAAAAAACCGCCACAGTATACCAATGAAATGAAAAATAATAACAAATGGTAAGAAAAAAAGCATAACATTTCCAAGATATTTGGGCTGAAAGTATTACATTTATAGTGTTCACAAGGGGTTTCCATATTTGGGCTCTGTGGCCTAGTTTTTGACCCCAGATGACCCATTTTTATAGTTGAGCTAGAAATCAACATAACAATCTTACTGAACAATATCCAGAACATTTGGGCTGAAAATATTGCCTCCGCATGTTGACAAAGCTTTTCCATAATTATTTGAGGTGCATGACCTAGTTTTTGACCCCATTTTACCTTCAATTTTGAGCTAGAAATCATTTAAACAACATTTTCGACCAATTTCCAGGACATTTGGACCGAAACAGTAGCATCTCTAGTGTTAACAATCTGTTTCCATATTTGCACTGTGTGACTTAGCTTTTGTCCTCGGATGACCCATATTCAAATTGGAGCTAGAAATTACGAAAAACAACCTTTCAAAGTAAGTAAAGTAAGCATCAAATAAATGCAAAATAATTAGACATAGAAAGGAATTGCGAGTTTAAATATGTATTCTTGTGGGCATAGAGGCAAAATTAAAATGCTCAATAGAATTTGTTTAAAACATGGCATGTTATTATTATAACAAAACAATTTTATTTGAAAAGGAATGGGATTCGCACTTCTCGATTGTGATTAAAATCAAGGGCAGATAATTAATTATGAAAATAAATAATATCTTATTTTTTCTTTATTCAATGTACCTTACCTCGGGTAGAGTTAAACGTAATCAAGAACTTAAATGACGTAAATATGTTTAAGTTATGTACACTTGAAATGATCTTACCTTAAATAAGTAAATATTTCTGATTCAAGGACATATAACTCAAAAGTGATATCGGTGACGCCCAAATTTATTCCAATAAACATATTTCTGTCATCAGATTCAAACAACATGCCAAGTCTTAAGAAGTTTTTTTTTGAGCAGTTTAAATTCTGCTTTTATTTCAATATTAAAACTCCCGGCAAAATTAAATAATATAAGGTCAATGTCAAGTTCTGTTTTACCATCTGAGAGGTATTTTTCTTATGTTCATAATTGAGCCGCGTCATGACAAAACCAACATAGCGGGTTTGCGACCAACATGGATCCAGACCAGCCTGCGCAGCCTGTTCGCTATCAGTTTCTCTACTTGTTATGGGGTTTGTAAGCGAACAGCATGGATCCTGATCAGACTGCGCTGATGCGCAGGCTGGTCTGGATCCATGCTGGTCGCAAACCCACTATGTTGGTTTTGTCATGACACGGCCCATATGTTCAGTCATGATTTCCAAAAATATCGAATGAGGGATATCAAAATCAAAGAACTTGACGCCAAAGTCAAATTTCTGATGACATACATGTATACATGTAAACTTCACGTCATTAACTCCTTGCAAGATTTATTAAAACTGGTGAAACTGTTCTGAAGAAGAAGGGAACACAAAGTTGTGTCTTCACATAAAAATGCTGTATAATGTTTTAAAAGAAGTGTTGAAAGGAAACCGATGTATGTAATGTATACTTTCAGTTTACTGTATGTTACACCCTTAATTTCTACATATAGGATCTTTATTGACCATATCAGTAGTATGTTGTACATACCTTTGCATAAATATTATTATAATTGAACGTTTATAATAACATTATTATTATTAATATTATTATTGCATGTATTATTATTATTATTATTATCATTATTGTTGTTGTCGCTAGCGACAGTACGAAAAAGCGCCAAACGGCGCATAGCGACAAGACGAAAAGGCGATAACGATATAGGTTGTGTTGTCGCTGTCGACAACGCAACGCGCAAAGTGTTCCAAATCAGCCACCATACATCATAAGCTATATCATTCTCGTAAATGAAATACATGGAAAAATATATAAAATAATGATTATTAATAAATTAAAAAAAAAAATCTAAAAAAAACAATAAATTAAAAAGTAAAACAAAAATAGAATTATTTAATTCAAAGGGCCAATAATTTTTTCAACCATTGTGGGATTTGAGCTTGCGACCTTCCGCATGCGAAACAAGGACCTTAATCACTACTCTAACTGGCCATATGTTTTACCTAGTCGTGCGTTTTCGTATATGGCTTTATCCTGCCACCCCTGTGTACTTATAAATTAAAATTTTCCATTCTCGATCATATTTGAATCGATACCGTTATGTCGGATTCCGATGATTGCCGATAAAAGGTCATTGAATATTCAAATGGCTCAGGCCAATATTGGCCAACAATATTTCAATAATGAAAAGGTCAGAGTTGAGAAGCACAGCGGAAAATGCCGAATTTTCCCGCTTCACAGATTACAGACCACGTGATCATTTGAGCTAACAGGTCATTTTTGGTGGGAAACTCGCGCCGAGAAGACGTTCTTTGTTAATAGAGTAAGTGTGATGATATTTTACAACTTTTGTATTTGATCGTTTATATTGTACTTTATGTATGCTATTTTTTCATGTACTCGCGATTTATAAAATATCTTTAAATATGTATGTTATTCCTGTAGTTAGTTATGAGTTGAGTTGAAGTGATTGTTGATGGCTGTTGTTATAAAATGTGATTCTGGCCAGGCTACGTGATGTGCCCGCGGTTTTTTGATATACTCGCGATTTATAAAAAATCTTTATGTAAGTTATCCCTGTACCCCCTGTAGTTGGTTATGTGTTGAGTTGAAGTTATTGTTGATGGTTGTTGTTATAAAATGTGATTCTGGCCAGGCTACGTGATATGCCCGCGGTTTTTTGATATACTCGCGCTTTATAAAAAAATCTTTATGTAAGTTATCCCTGTACCCCTGTAGTTGGTTATGTGTCGAGTTGAAGTGATTGTTGATGGTTGTTGTTATAAAATGTGATTTGGCCAGACAACGTGATGCGCCCGCGGTTTTTTGATGTACTCGCGATTTATAAAAAATCTATGTAAGTTATCCCTGTACCCCCTGTAGTTGGTTATGTGTTGAGTTGAAGTTATTGTTGATGGTTGTTGTTATAAAATGTGATTTGGCCAGACTACGTGATGCGCCCGCGGTTTTTTGATGTACTCGTGATTTATAAAAAATCTTTATGTAAGTTATCCCTGTACCCCCTGTAGTTGGTTATGTGTTGAGTTGAAGTTATTGTTGATGGTTGTTGTTATAAAATGTGATTCTGTCCAGACTACGTGATGCGCCCGCGTTTTTTTTTATATACTCGCGATTTTTTAAAAAAAAAAATCTTTATATAATTATGTTATTCCTGTAGTTAGTAATGTGTTGAGTTGAAGTTATTGTTGATGGTTGTTGTTATA